CGAAAAATCTTATCCAACGTCTGAAGCTATCTCGCAGCTGCAATAGGATCATACGACCCATCAAAAGAAGGTGGCTTATGCTTGTGAAAAGCATTAAGCCGGCGGTCTATCACGTCACGATCCTCAGCAGGCTCATGGTAGGGTTCCATCACCCCAGTAAGGTGACCATTGCCGTCAACATGACTCTGGCTATCGTCCCGAAGACTAAATGGAGGCGGTGATGGTGGTGGATGAGGGAACTGACCCTCATTGCGGCCAGCCCGCATCTCCTCCAACATGACCCTCATCATGGTCATGTTCGCCAGCCTGTTTGCCTCAAGGACATCTTTTGTGGCCTTCCGGTTCGCCTCTCGAACGGCGTCCATCGTTGCCATGTTGGCCAATCTAGCGGCCTCCTGATCGGCTAGTCTAGCCGCCTTCATCTCAGCTAATGCAGTTAGGACATGATCCGGCTAATCCTCGTTCATCTCTCAGTTTCTCCTAAGCATTACCATGACTCTACACAAGTTACACAAAGAATGAGTTGATCAGGCCCACGCAATGTGTTACAATACAGACTCGCAACAAAACATCCTAAGTTATTGCAATACATACATGCTTTTTCCTAGAAAGTGCTATGATACCATCAAATGTAACACCCCGTGTATATCCGGTTTGTTAACATGTCATCGCATTAAGCCACGCTTAATTAAAAATGCAGAATAACTTTTTACTTTCAATTATGACGTCATTATCATTAGACAAGTTGATTACTTAATTATTTTCGTAAACATTGCCTGTATAGAAATTGCAAAAGACAACTAATTACACTGAATAACCTCAATATATATAAAAGTAGGTATCTAAGTCACGGAACTACAAAACGTAGACCGGACATAATCCTGATACAATTATACAACTCGAATCTAACAGCATAAAGTCAAGTCAATGTGGCATGGACAATCCCCATGCTCCCCAAATAAGGCAACAAGCCCAACATGTCTCAACATAGATAACATGACAATAAATAAAGGAGATATCAGCAACCAGACAAATAATCATAAACAGCATATATCCTCAGCTCTGGCCTCCTGCCGCCCGAGGTCTCAACCCCCGAGTTACCTGAACCTGAAAATGGTGCCCCAACCGTGGGGTGAGATCTCTAAAAATAAATCTCAGTAAGACAAGGGGTCCTCAAGGATCTTCTACCCCAAGTTCACTTACATGTGCAATATAAGTTCCAAAACAGTTTAACAATATAAGTTCCAAAAATCAGTGTAATGCAGCATATAATCATGTCATGTGTGTCAACTATCTACTGGCCAGAGAAATGCGGCACTTACATACGTCTATTGCCTACATTTAGTGCAAGACACCACTTGCACCCACCCACAGAATCACCCTATTGTATGCCTCTCACATACTCAGGAGTCCGTCTAGGTGGAACACCACATGCATATCATAAGGCATTCACATAATAGCTCAACAGCATTTCAAATATTAATACATGAAAAACACATCATGCATATAAACCATCCCCCCATGGGACATGGTGGAACCAACAATGGCTAAACTGAGGACACGAAAGCTTACCTTGCAAGCTAACTATCCAAGCTAAGAGTCCAACCAAGCTCAATATCCGGATATTTCGCGACATAATGCAGTTTCTGCATTTCGCGAGATATCTCTTCCAAGGTTCCATTTTTAACACTTCTAGACGTTAAAGCATGCATCTTTAAAACCCTCTAGGTCAGTTATAACGTTGGTTACTTGTTTATCTTATTAAACATGTCAAGACTCCACTTTTACCCATTAAAACTCATGATCAAAGTGATGGTGCTTACCACCAAGGCTCAAAACAGAAATGGGATGACTCTTGGAGCTCACAAATCAACTCCAACTTCTGACTTCAAGTGTTCACGAAAATGGCACCCCAAGATGGGTTTTTTCTCTTCAAAAGTCACTCCTTGAAGCTTCTACAACCAAGAAATACCTCCCACTCCTCAACCCAAGAACTCAGCCCCCAACACTCACTCAAACAGAGGTAAAACAACTCAGAAGGCACCCTACTCTTCCTTACAACCACTCTAATAAGTGTTTACAATGTATAAAAGAGAATAATCAATGGAAAAAGAGATGACTTGAGAGTTTTTCAAGCAAGAATGGCCATGGAGAAGGTGACAAGCATGAAGACACACACACACAACAGCCAAAACCCACGTATAATGGCTGGAGAATCAGCCTAGGGTTGTGTGAAAGGGTCTATTTATAGGCCACTTAATTTAATCACACAGTATTAGCATTAATAGCTACACTTAACATTTTAATCCCAAACTTAGTGTTCTTAACCTACTCATTTTTCTAAGATTTCTCATATTTTTATTTTATTTTTTGCAGCATCTTTCCGGTACGCGCTTTTACATAGCCAGTATCAGTTATGGCACCAGTCCTCATTATTTTGACCTGAAACTTGACATACTAGTCCTATGTATTATTCTAGGAATATTCCCATACTTATTATAATTTTCTGAGATACTTCATAGGTACGCATTTATGCCGAGGAGCAGAACCGGTATCTGCACTTTTCGTCAGAAAAGCGACTTTCAACATTATTACTCACTTAACATAATTATTTAAGTCTTCTCATAATTTTTATTGTCCATTATGGATTATTTCCTAATTCTCATATTTATTTAATTAATTTCCTAAATTAACGGTGCGAGTTTTTACACTTTTCCTACTTGTGTGCTCCACCATGGTTAGTGGACTATGGTTGGATTGTATGATTGTATTTGATACTTTGTATAGATGCATTCATATAAAGCTATATGATAATATGATATATTTTGTTCTGATGTGATTTCTGTAATGATCTTTAGCCATTGATTCTATGTACACTGATGTCTGCTTGGGGTCCTCCCTCGGGACTTACTGTGTACACCTCTGATTTGTGTTTGGTTCCGCTTGGGGTCCTCCCTTGGGAGCACGTGCTTTGATTTCTGCTTGAGGTCCTCCCTTAGGAATGACTGCGTACTTCTATGATAAGATATGTCTATATGTTATGTTCAGTTATGATATTTGTTTATATGATGCCTTGTATACTCTGTATCTGACTTTCATACAAGAGTGGGCCCAGGGAATGGAGAATTCTCTATAAACCTAGAGCTTATTGAGATTTGTTATTTCACCCCGTTTGGGGACATCATTTCAAGTGTACAAATTCCCAGTGAGCCCTCGCGGGGCAGGGACACGACCTGTGGCTAGAGGTGTTGTGACGGACCGAATTTTGGGTAGCTATAGGCTACTGACATTTTGGAGGACATTTATGTTGTTTTCGTATTTCATTATTTTGGGATCATGATGTCTGATCTGTTACTTTGTATATGGCCTGTATATGTTTTGTACATGTCTTCATTCTCGATGCATGTACGTTTTGTGTATTCAGGCATGCTTATATGATGATGTAGTATTCAGATATATGTATGTGTTGATTTATGCATGCTGTTAGACTTAGTGGCACGGAGCCAATTTATGCATGAGCCCATGATGGGTATTTGATCCTTGATGGATATTTGAGATTTCTGAAATTATGGATTATATGAATTGTTTATGAGGGAACCTTGAGCGAGGGATTTTTAAATCTCCATTTGTTCGGTTTACAGTCGTTACGCTATCCGATTTTTTTCTCCATCAAATGAAAAATAAATTAGAAGAAAGTTATACATTGATATATATCATGTGAAACAGATTAAAGAAAAGGAAAAAGTTAGCTCGTATTTTCGTAAGCTAATGTAAGTTTATATGTTAAGCCTTCGGCTGCTGCATGTTTTAGTATCATATGTATGTTAATTGAACCGGCTCGAGACGTGGATGTTACAATAGCCATTTGATATGTATTTTGATGTATTTTGGTGGACTTAGCCTATGCTCACTTTCCTTGGTATCTCATGTTGTTGGAGGGAGCCGAGGATTTGATCATAGTGTTTTGTATCTAAGTTCCATGATTATGTATTTAAATATTGGACATTGTGTAGTAATGTACCTTTTGCTTATATAATGGTAGGGCATGAATGCCTATTTGTATGATGGTGAATATTAACTTGAGTCTTAATGATAATGTGCATGAAATATGTAAGAATAAAATAGTGTCTTGTTGGTCAAGTTAAAAAGAAATGCATAATTGGTAATTGAAGGAAAGGTATTAAAGAATCCTAAGTTGATGTAAATGTTGTGGATAAAAGAGCACCTTAGTTTGTTGGGCTAGTGGTTATCATTTCATGTGTCAATTAGGTACAAAAGAGTGGGGAGGTGTTCCCTTGGTTTGTGCAAGAAATAAACAAGCCCAGTGCAATTTTTAGGTTGCTCGTTGGCCTCCTCGTTGGAGCGAGAGGTTCAGCGAGCCATTTAGACCTTTGACAGCGGCAAAACGTGATGCAGGGGAACTCTCGCTCACTCACTCGCTGGAGTGAGCTGGTGAGCGAAACAGAGCAATGGTCGCTCTTGAACTTGCTTGAGAGAGCAAGGGAGCCACAAGGCAGGGAAATTGAGGTTGAGCTACTGCTTTTACAATAGCCAAGAGAACAAATTGCTCGCTGCACTATTTGCTTGAGCGAGCAAGGCAGCGAGGGAGAAAAAAAATAAAAGCTCGCTAAGCTGCTCGCCCAAGCGAGGTGTCCAACGAGAATTGTATAACGCTCACTGAGCTGCTCGTCAGAGCGAGCTGATCAGTGAGCAACCCAGTTTTAAGAAAAATGATAATTAGGTGAGTGAGACCCTTGGGAACCTAATAGTGGTATCCCTTGGGACTAATTTGATATGTCTAAGCATGTTTTAGCTATTCCGCAACTTCACATAGTTACAAGCACTTGGTTGTTTGAATACGGTGTTGTTTTAAGGAACTTAACTATGTTTTAAAAAGAAAAAGTTGTAAACCCAGTACATGTCCATGTCCGAATACATAGCCAAAATCGATGATATTTGAAAAGAACCTTGAGATACACCACCCCAAAAGCTAGCTCACAGGGTGGGAGTTCTCAAAGCCACAATGCAACAAGCCCAGCCTACCTGTGCTAAGAAATTCCACAAGAGAAAGTGGAGGGCGGCGAGGAGGCTCTGATACCATGAAAAGAACATTGGAATACACCACTCCAAAAGCTAGCTCAAAGGGTGGGAGTGCCCAAGGCCTTATAAACTCTACATTAGTTGCTCATACAACCAATGTGGGACTATATATCTCAACAATATTTTATTATCAAATAACTACATGGTATACGTTTACCCACAAATAAATAAATAAAACTATATGATCTTTGTTTTCTTTGCTTTGTCTTGTTTTTCAGGTGCTGGGACAACACAAAAGCCTTACCAAAGACTCTGAGGATGATATATGCGAGATCCATAAGTTGATATGATCATTTGTATGAACAAGGGAAGTTGAAGCCTTGCAAATAGAGCAACTGGGACACAAGCCAGAAGAGCAATTGGAATTGACACCCATTTTAGTCTCTCCCTTAGAACCAAAGAGAGAGCTGCACCAAATGCTATCATTGTAGTTACTATAGCAAGGAACAAAGAAGCCAGTCCTAATATTAATCTTTCTGGTAATGTCTTGAGAAAATCTTCTTCAGCATAGCGTGCGGTTAGGATTGATAAAAACATCAAAAGAGAAGCCATAGAGGAAAATAAAGCAAATGCATCTGACACAACAAACACCATGAATGTGTGGTCCTGCAAGAATATTGGAATTCCTTTGTCCTGGTTGTTACCTCCAGGTACAGTGAGAACAGAAGCAAACACAACTGTAGCAATAAGAGTTGCTACTAACATACAAGAGTTTGATGTATCCTTCATCCATTTCTCCCCTTCCTCAAGCAATGTCTTGTGCTCTTCCCTGAACAATTGCCAAGGTGTTTTACCATCTTTGTTTTTAATTTCTTTATGGAGAGGGTGGTCCAATTTCTCTACTTCCTGTTAGACACTATGCCATGTTATCAATATCTATATAGAATTGAACTTCAAAATTACAGGAAGGTGATTATAAGATTACACAAACCTTAAACCACTGTAACTCTTTTTGCATTTGAAATGCTGCACCAGAAATTGGTGCCAGCTTATGAGAATCAGACCTTGCTGCTAGATGTGACGTAGTGTTTTGTGATTCATCTAAGGTTGAGACCAGAAGGTTGCAAATTATCGGCATCTTGCACAGAAGACTTAAAACCTTTTCTTGCCGATTCTTGATGGCAATTTGAGCTACATAACCTTCATTTGGCATGTGAATCCAAACCAAATCAGGAAAAAAGTGGAAACATATCCTTAAAATTTCAACTATGCCAGCTGTTGTGGCATTGAAAATAATGTCTGCACTCACAAAAGACTGCCAAAATTCAGAGTCGTTCATGGTTGAAACTTGTGAGCAAACAAACTCTACCAATCTCACAGCAGATACGTGCCTCAACTTTGCATCTCTGACTAGCTTTATGCTAGGAACTGCAAATGAAGTTTCTTTTTAATTGAAAAATAAAGAAAAGGAGAAGCTAAGAGAATATGACATCTTGAGGATCTCTAGAAATGTGTTTCAGTACAACATACCAAGATTCTGAATCGCATTCCATATTGTACCTCCAAAATAAGATTGGTGATGGCTTGACTCACCATACGAATCTTTCAAATCTCCTCTTAGCTGACTTGGTGGTAAATAATCAAGTTCCACTGGAACACCTTATATAATTGAAGAGGAGGAATGGTAAATTTCAATGAGGCAGAAGAGTATTACAATCAAGCATTGTAGTAGAAAAAGAAGTATCCCTAAGAAAAGGGTACTTACAATGGTAAATGCATCTACCCCAAAACCCAAGCTTATTTCCACTTTGGAAGTCTGAGGACAATTTTGACAAAACATTAAGTATAATGCCTCCATTTGAATCAGAAATAATGGCCAAGTTAGGGAAGCGCTGGAGAAGATACATGGTTATATCTGTGCTTGGGAGAATCAAAAAGAAAGTTATTAGTGGATATAAAGAACAGGGTAGAAACATGTGAATACTAATGTGTTTTATGTGCTTAGTTATTAAAGTAGCATATATATTCTTAAGTTGCAAGAAACAGAACATATGTATGGATGTTTAAATAGTTTCATAACCTTGCACATTATTACTCTGGCTTTTCATTATACTAGATATATAAAATTGTAGTGCTGAAATCCTGAAACTACAACTAATCATATCAAAGATTGGAAGAATAGCCGTATACTCTAGTTAAATTCCATATATATTGAGATCGTTACTCATTTTTGTTCTATGCACCAGCCATATCATACTGATTCCATAAACAAACATGGAAGTTCGTCTGCAAGACAAGTACCTTCTGATTTAATGAGTTATTCAGTGGAATGAATTATACTGCATTGATGCATCACTAACAGTGATATCTGTTAATGCCGGCAATCAATATCATTAGAGTAATTGTCAAGAGATATCATAAAACAATTCACGTGCCTTTTATCCAATAGCTTAAGCTTTGAGGAGAATTGGATATGTAACATGGCATCTAAGCCTAAGATCAATTGGTCTAGAGTTCGACCTTGCCACCCCCATTCTTCAAATAAAAATAAAATAAAGTCCAACTTAAGCTCAAGATAACCAAAAAAAGAAAAAAACGAAAATGGGTGTATTATCCATGCTTGAAATTCGAAAGGTTCTCGTATGAGAAGACGTGTCAAGAGATATCATAAAACCATTCATGTTCCTTCACCCAATGGCTTAAGCTTTTAGAAGAGTTGGTTACGTGTGAGTAATTATTGCATCAACTTAATTTTCTTCCTTTATAAGAATTGATGACTCGAATGTTGTCAACCATAGTTTAAGATCAAGAGTTTAACCTGTTAGACACTCTACTTTCCATCACACTCTTCATAGATAGAGCTATGAAGCCACAAAGATTTTAAATTACAATCATTCTATCTCACGGATAAGAAATCCTGAAAACACATATAACATATAATATACTTATTCAGAATAGCATTTAAATTACCATGAAATCCTGCAGCAGTAAGCAAAGCCACAAGTTCACGAGCAGAAGGACCCGAGAATGGACAGCCAGGTCTCTCATCTGTAGTATTCAAGACAAGGCACCACACCATCTCTTTACATCTGGTAGAGGTAATACTATAGATGAGAGGTGTGAATCCTTTGAAATCAGTAAGTTGTGTGAGAGAAGGATTTTTAGCAACCAATGCCTTGGCAGTCTTTGTGCTTTCACCTAATGCAACATAGTGCAGGCAAGTGCAACCCATCAAGTCCAGCTCTCCAAGTACATGTGCAGGCATAAGTTGCACCAACTTCTCAACAATTTGCCACTGTCCTCCTAAAGCAGCAACATGCAGTGCAGTCCTGCCAAGTATGGTGACCTTTGCTGTCAATGCACTTGGGTCATTATCAAGGAAGGCCTTTGTAGATTCCCAATCACCTTTTAATATTGCTATGTGCAGGGGTTGGTAGTAATTGTGGTTAAATCCCCTAGCTTTTGGCAATAATAGTAACACTATGAGTTCTAATGGAAACAGGAAAATATAATGGCTATAGCCTATAAGACTACACAACATTTCCTTGCAGAACAGCAGTTATTATCAATGTGTTCTCAGTCTAAATGTCAACTATGAATGCTGTCGTCTGAATCAAATATGCATATTATGAAGTACATTTGAATATATATATATATATATAGAGAGAGAGAGAGAGAGCAAATTACATACCGAACTCAGTAGCAGCAGCCTTGACATCATTGAAAGACATCACTGGACTTGATCCTGCAGATGCCATTTCTACTGCAAAATTTGTCTTGGTTTTGCAAGCCGAAACCTGCTTCAATAATGATTAATCAGCAACTTGCAGAAGGTGAATGGAAACCTGCATTAACAGAATCATTTGCCTCTTGCAGATATAAATGCTGGAGATGCTTTCCGTGTAGACAACGCAAAGTTGAAACTCTTCTTTTGCCAGCTACAAGTGCAATAGTTTGCAAAATCCTATTCTTGAATGTGGAAAAAACAGAAGAACAAGCTTAGGAGAACAAGTTATACTTCAAGCTGCAGTTCATAATGTATTCTTTCATCTTCTTTTTCTTCATCTTTAACATTTGTTTATGTATTATTCTTTGTTCACTATTGAATAAAATATTAATGAATAGGTTAAAGGTAAGGAACATGTACCTTTTCTTTTTGTTTTTTTACAGACTTGGAAAGCACAGAAAGTGCTGTGCTGTTGATTCTCATTTCCACTTTCTCCTGCTATGTGACCATTTGATTCTCTTTTATAGGAAAAAGTAAAAGCTATATACGTGTTATATTCATTGTTACACTTCATTTTCTTCCTCATGAAGTTTTCAAGTTTGTCTTTTTTAAATTAAAACAAAAAACTCCGCACACCGCTATTTTCTATTTTCAAATTGAATACTAGTCTAGTGTTATTTTTAACACCATAGGACTTTATGCATACAATGTATGACACATAGAATATGACTTTATGTTTTAATTAATAATTATATGAATAGTATAGTATTTTCATTCTTATTCTTATTTTCAAGGTTTCTCGAAGAAAATAATGAAATTGAATAATGGAATCTTATTAATTGAAAAAAAACTAAACAATCCCTCATCTTTTTTTTATTCTTAGTAAACATTGTCCTCATATATGAACTTTTTTAAAAAGAATGAATTAAAATGATCATTTTAATTTTTTATTTGTTTTTGCAAATATTTTACAACTCAGTTTTAAATTAAAAAACGAATATTTTCTTCTTTTCCCAAAGGTGTCATCATCCGTTTAAATGAGACTAATCCCTTTTATGACATAGACCATTCAACTCCAACAGTTTATGACGAAGCAAATTGAATAAACTAGCCCCCCAAAAATCAGAAGAGAAAAGTGCAACTGCAAACATTCAAGTGTTGGGATATGACCACTTCATATAGACTTCACTTGCTCCATTACTAACCAATATCAAACTTCATCACACTTAAATATTGTAGCACTAAGTTATGGTTGCTAGCAATAAGCATTTATTCTTGATTCTTTTAGGAATCAAAATGAGTACAAAGGAGGAAGAATGAAAAGGGAACAAATACTCTCATCTGATATGTCATCAAGTGATAAAAAAAAATGCATTAAATAAAGATATAAGAAAATAATAACTATTGATTAGTATCAAAAGCTTTAGGAACCTCTCTCCTATTTCTTAAACCCGAAGTCACTCAATGTCTCCTTGAGCAAATCATTGCGAGCCGTGTTACGAGCTTGCTGTGGGGGCATGCTTAGGGCTTTCTGTGGTGGTGTGCTTCGGGCTTGCTGTGGGTAAGGGGAAACGTAACCATACTTCTTTAGCAATCTCTCTCTAACCATCTCATCACGAGCCATGGTTCGAGCCTGTTGGGGACCAATATTGACAAAAGAAAGATGCGCCCCAACGGCTAAAATGGAAGCACCAGAGAGGAAGCATGCAATGGTCATGGCCAGTTTCTTGGGTGTTGAGGGGAAACACACCACCATTTGTTCAACCACCTGTCACATAAAATCACCGTTCAGCAATGCATACTTGTTGCAGTAAGACTGTAATTTGCAGCGTGTAAAGAACCTTCGGATACACCACCCCAAAAGCTAGCTCAAAGGGTGGGAGTGCCCAAGGCCTTTGCACAGGCCCAATTTTTGATTTACCTTTTTGTGCTTTTTATTTTAATTCCACTTTAAAGTGGGAGGCCGTGAAAATTGAACTCGTGAACTTATGGTCACTCAAGCTTTGATACCATGTAAAGAACCTTGGGATACACCACCCCAAAAGTTAGCTCAAAGGGTGGGAGTGCCCAAGACCTTATAAAGGCCACATTAGTTGCCCACATAATCAATGTGGGACTATATATTTCAACAGTGTGATTCAGTGCCCATAAACTCTAACACATTCTAGAGTCTAGACTTTATACACAAACCCATTAAAAATGTGTAGTTTGTTTTAAATTTTCAATCTTTTAATCAACAATTATAAAAATTGTACCTATTTTTCATTTTAAAGATTTTTAAATAGCACAAGAATTTGGTGTTGATGGCATATGACTTGAAGGTCACAAGTAAAATTTATGTAATTAGTCTCTTGCCTACTATAAATCCCTTATAAAATCTTATGTAGAGCCAGAGCTTTATTGGACAATGTTATCCCATTTTAAAAGGGGAAAAATGTTTCTTGTGCTGCATTACGCAATACACGAAAAAGTGTGGATGGACTCGCTAAAGAGAAGAAAAAGAAAGAAAAAAATGGATACCATCCATTTTTTGTGTGTGCATGAGACAAAATTGTGCAACATAAAAAACATATTTCCCTTTTAAAAGACATAAGGAAGAAAACATGATGGTAATTTTGTAATTATAAATGAAAAAGATACAAAATGATTATACTCTTAGCATACATCTTTAGATGCCATTTTATCAAACACTTGGGTGCATTAACACATTGTGTTATCCAAGGTGACATACTCAATTTACAAATACAAAAACAAGACCTCTTATGTACTGCATAGCTTTATAGTTTATAGCATCATGTTATCCATTTTGTTAAAAATACAAGAAAGAAAACACTGGTAATTTTGTAATTATAAATGAGAAAGAAAAAAACTACAAAATGAAAATAGAAACGCATCCTCTTGATATGCATCTAGAAGGCATTTTATCAAACATGTGGGGTGCATTTGAAATCAATGGAAAGGAAGCATAATAATGGTAGACAAAGGAACGAAGAATTGAGCAGAAGCAACAACTAAAGCAGAGGCGAATCGGAAAGTGGCTCCACTAGAAATTAAGATGTTTGGGTTTGAACGTACCTTTGACTTTGAGCGTTGCGTTTATTAGATATAGATATGAGAATTCAAATATGCAATGGCGTTTGTGGTTCCTCAAAACTGACTCTGTTTTGGCCTCTGGTTCTCAATAATAATCACCTTTCCCTTCTGTTTAGGCTGCTCTCGTTTGACTTGAATTTTAGTTAAAATAACATCTAAAGAATTAATCTTGAAATGATTGATGTTGGAGAATTGATTTACATTAAAAGATTCCGGTAACTTTATATAAAATTATCCCAATCAACTCTTAAAATTATCATTAAACAATTAAGGATATTTTAGTAAAATTTATAATTTATAAAAGAAAAAAAGTATTTCCCCCGTCAACGTAGATAAAGTTATCTCAGTGAGCTCAAAACGATGTCGTTTTGAGTTATGAGATTAAAAATTTATAATGACAAAGACTAATATAACTCTGCAATATATTAGAATTATAAAAGCACCTTGATTTCCGTCCTAAAACAACGTCGTTTTAGGTTCATCGGAGATAATTTTATCTCCCGGAGAAATCCTTTATCCTTTATAAAAATATAAAATTTTCAAAATATTTTGATTTTGCTACATTGTTAAAACGTTATAGAAAATAATTTTATTTGATATATAGAAAAAAAAATCAGTTGTTGATGTTGATTACAGAAAAAGTACTTTCCCCAAAAAAAATTTAAAAACCTATTTAGCATATTTGTTTTTGTTTCAATAATGTAAAATAAAAGTGCATTCATATATACAATTATCAAAGAGAGTATAATTTTTTTTATAATGAATTCAACTCCGGAAATCACATAAACATAAATGGTTATTTTAGTATTTAAAAGTAGCGTTATAAATGAGACAATCGACTTATTATTGGCCTACCAACCTATATCAAGCCAACTCTAACATAACATATCCAGTAAAATAAAATAGATTGCCATAAGCAAAAAGAAAGAGACTGTGTAATTCACTATTTCAGCTATTTTTGAAAAAACTAAAAATATGTTCAAATAAGCAAACATATCATGATTTAAAAAAGTCCATTTAGAAAATAAGTTGTAGGCCTATTTGCAAGGCTTTTGGTTTATATCTTATTATTTATTTCAATTAAAATAAAATAAATATTTAAATAATTTTATTTAATAAAATAATATTATTTAATTTAATTTTCTAATTCTTGAAAAGTATAAAAGACTTGATAGGTTTAAATAAGCTAATAAACATAAACTAAATCTAAAATATAGATTAAACAACACCTATAACTTAACTTGCACGAAACTAAAATATCAAGATAGACAAAAAATATATTACACGAATCTAAGCTATTTAGACCGAAATCTTGCCTCCCCTGGCCCCATTTACCTCACTAGTTAGAAGCATTTACTTTCACTACTTTCAGAATTTATTTATCTCTAACACAAGTCTTTTAGATTCCACAACACTTGCACTCGAATTTAAACAGTGAAACATGACTGACGCACTTTTTCTACCTGTTTACCAAACGTTCACTTTTTTCATACATTCTTTTGGTGCTTTATAGTCCTGCAAGTGATTCATTTAAGAAGTGTTTTGTTATCTTTTGGTCTTGGGAGACAGGCTAAAGAATAAGCATTTATTATCTTAAAATCTAAACAACATTCAATATTTTTTACTTTAAGTAATTAAGATAATGTAATAAATGCTTTTAAACATGTACTGTAATGGCACACATAAACAAAACCCTAATCAAATTTCGACATTAGTCTTTCCAGTAATATTGTGCCAGCAGAAGTTTAATGCACTTAAAAATGCAATTTGTATGGTTTACCTCAATTTTAAGTAACAGTATCTGAATCAAAATGATTCCGAGAAAAAGAATGAGCAAATGGAATCACCTATTGTACAACATAACCGTGTGAGGAAGAATCAATATACAAGCAAAAACCTCACATCTGTATATACTTGGGGACATGGAACAAGTGAAGGAAACAAAATGGTGCTGCAAGATGCCAAATACCACGCCAGGTACTAACAACAATCCAGTTCACTCATAGCACTGATTCTGCAACCTTCTTCAGTTGAACAAGGGCATCACAGAATTATTGAGTTAAATTCAGCTTAAAGAAGTTATGCTATTTCTACTCCAACAATAAATCAGCAACTGTGTCACTTTCAGCAACCAAAATGGCTGGCAATTGAAGGCAAAAGATTGCGCGCCACGGATGAGATGTGAATCATAAAGATAGAAAATCATCTTTTATTTCCACTACTCAAGCTCAGATATCAGCAGTTTCAAGCTCAAACGCAAAACATTCAACACCCTATGCTTTTCATTATGTTGACAAGCTCGTTGATCACAGTTCCAGGATCAGCATGTGATCCATCAAGGTTGATTGCATGATACTCCAACCCTTTCCAACGGGCAATGTATGCAAAATGTGGGCGTCTGAATTGGCTGCTAATAATCTCCAGAATCACAGTTTTAGGTAATGCAGATACTATGTGAGTAAGACCAGCACCATGGGCACCAATGATAACCGATGCGTCTTGAATGGCTCGTACCTGCTCCTTCATAGACATGTGTGCAAACAATCCATTAACAAGGTTAACTTTACACCCTTTATAACTAGATGCCCAGCTCTTCAAGGACTCAAAGACATCTTGCTCATTGCTTAGTCTTGATTCAACTTTACCACCATGGCGTGGATGAGCTAAATAATCTTCACGGCGAACAAAAAGGACATTATGTCCAGTGACATGTTTTCCAACATGGTGTAAGTTTAAAGGTAGCTCAAATGCTGCCCTGACCATTTCTCCAAACTCAGAAAGGCGTGCAGTTTTGTAATTATCAGGCTTTTGCCAAAGTTTTTGTGCAGAAGCTCCATCACAATTTATATCTTCTGTTAGTCCTCTAAACAGTGCAGTCTCATATCCCAAAGGTGAGAGAATAGCATGGCGAAAACAAACTGTACCACTGAAGTTTTTAGCATATCTGAGACTCGAGAATAACGCTTTCCATGTCTCTTCAAGAGGAGTCTGAAAATTTTTGTAAGGAAACTAATAAATTAACAAAGAATCCCTGCCAATTTCCTTATTTGATGAGAAGGCAAACAAAACTAACCAATAAGTAAAAGACAGTACACGTATGTTCGTATAATTTATGTAGAACGACCGAAGAAAAACAAAACATACGCAACATGATTAACTTGCAAATTTAACAGGAATCATATCAGCAGACCATGAATTCTTGAAGTGATTGTGTGACACATACCAAAAACGATGAATATTACAAGTTCTATATGGATGGCAAGGAATTAATAACTTTATTGCTTAAACTTCATATATACAAAAATAGCTACCTTAACAAACTGTCATTTAGTAGTAAAGGGGAAATGAGCCACATATGTACTCATGCTAGCATAAAATCATGATACTTTAATGAATAAATACCCTTTTTGGTCCCTAACAAAAAACACGGTCCCCACTTTAGTCCCTTACAAAAATAAATTAGTCAGTTAGTCCCTAACAAATTCAAAGTGGACCCATTTAGTTGAAATCGTGATCTCTCACAAATTCAAAAAAGACCCATATTAGTCCCTCAAAAGGACTAAAATGGGTCCACTTTGAATTTGTTAGGGACTAACTGACTAATTTATTTTTGTAAGGGACTAAAATGGGGACTGTGTTTTTTGTTAGGGAGCAAAAAGGGTATTTACTCTACTTTAATATTATATGAGATTAAGAAACTAATCTAGCATAAAATCTACTATAATAGGGTCTCTTAAAACAGTTACACAGAAAAGTTGAAACACTAGTGTCCAACCAAAAGCTCATGATAATCATGTTGTACCAATAAAATGCTAAACAAATAATAACAAAAAACCACATATCACAAATCACATTGATCACAAAGGCAAAATCCAGCCTATTATTGATTCTTTTCTTTGATCAGGATATTTTGCTTGGTCCAATTGGTTCCTTTTATGGAAGGGAGCCCAAACCATCCAGAAGCATACCAAGTTACCAACCCCAACAACTATTTATTAATTTCATAATGAGGTTAATAAGTTACTCACATAGTTAACAACAACCTCCTCTTTTTTTTTTTTTTTTTTTGGTAAACAACAACCTCTTCTTTAACTCTTCATCTCAATGGTCCTTACAATTTCTGTATCTCAAAACCATACTTTTTGCCTCAATTTTTTTGGTTGCTCAGTCAGTAGCTAATGAAAAAAAAAATTGGTTTGGAGAAGACATATATGGAAACAGAGCGTCAAAAATGCTGCAAGCTTTCAACTTCTAATATTTTCATAGGACAAAAGCATGTAAACCAACAGCATTATAACATTGAAATTTAATGAAACAAATTAATAAAACTGATCATGCATACCGTACAGTGGCCATCTACAAAGACCAAATGAGGTCGATTAGGCAGGTTAGTGACTCTAGAAGAAACATATGCACTGTACCAATCTGTAACAGTGTGAAAAAGATTAGCATATTCAAACCGTGTCACCAAAAGTGTTGGTTCCTCAATCCACTGCAAGTAGAAACCCTCATGTCAGAAGCACATCAAAGCAGAAGTTGTACAACTGAAGAAAGTAATAATAAATTATATCAAGGGGAGGAAGCAATTGTGAAAATTAAAAACTAAAATAAAGGGAAAGCATACAAGGAAAGAAAAGCTTTATCACTTGAATCTTTCATGCATATGCATCATAAAAGAGAATGATGGCATCTCTAAAGGTGTGTCTTTGCCTCCGAACTTGTTATTGAATAAAACTATGTTTATGTCTTTATGGCCTCACTTTGATGTTCTGTCTATGGCTGCTTCAAGAAATTGCTGTCTTTAATAAGCAAAGAGATTGGGCAGCCATTGCTGCATTATTAGTTTGCTCGATCTCTTTATTGTATATAGGTTTTCCTGTTTTGGAGGATTTCTCATCCTCCACTAGTTGCACATCACTCTAAAAAATCATTAACTTTTTTTTTATCAAACAACTAATTGTACTTAACCATTGCATTAAACCCTCCCTCCCCAACTTGATCAGTAAAAACCAAAAGATATTAATACCCCTCTTAATAAGAAACATACTTATTGAATATGAAAACAGATTCAGACAAGATAACAATGATTACCACACTCCCACAATAAATCTGATTCAGAATCATCGAAACGAGGAAAACCAACATCCAAATTTAGAAACTTCACAACAATTTCCATCCAATCCAAGCGCTAACCATAAACACCCAGATCATAATTCAGAAACAAAAAGACATTAAAAGAAAAAAAGAAAAAAAAGATTCAAACTTTTTCCCCTAACCTCATCAGATCAAAGTCCAAAATTAGAAAGGCACTAACCATAAACACCCATATGATCAAAGTCAAAAAAACAGAACCAAAAAAATTAAAATGAAATGGTCCAAACTTTTTCCCCTAACCTCATCACAAACAAAGTCCTTCCCTCCAACGATCCGAATCTTACTAATCAAATCACGCATTGTATGCCTCATAACCTCACCTCGAGGCACATACAAATCCAAGAACTCACTATCCACAAGCATCTTCTCCTCTCTCCCTACACCAAACCCTTCACCTCCATCAACCTCAAACGCACCGTTTTGAAACGAAGGTAGTTCCTCCTCTTCCCTTCTCCCAATAACCTCCACCAAAGTCTCACCACCCTTCGCCATCTCTATCCTCTCCGGCACCATGCGAACCCTTTCCCCTTCGCATATCGAGCTCCGGAGAGTCTCGCTGTGCCAGCACCGGAACCACCCTGCTCCGCCGCCGGAGGAGAGGATATCGAGGCGGCGCGTGAACCCGTTTCCGAAATAGCCCTCGCAAGAGCGGCGAGTGGCGGAGGTGGTGATTTGGGACCATGGAAGGTAAGAGGGTAGGTCAGGCCATGGTTTTGAGAAGTGGGTTTGGTGTGTTTCACCAAAGGGTCGTCGTAAAGTTTTGTGTGTGAGAAAGTGTGAAGAAGAAGGTTTGGTGGAGGAAGAGGAATGGTGATAGGTGAAGTAGAGAAAGAGAGAGAGGGAGTTAACGGCGAAGAGGAACACGAGGATCTTCACCAGCAAGGTGATTCTTTTGTTCATTTCTTCTCTCTCTCTCTCTCTAGTGACGACAGAGTCGTAGGGTTGGAATGGAAGTAGAAACAAGTAGGTACATGCTTCTCTCTCCCCTTTGTTTTCTCAATATTTTGACCTTTGATTATATTATTCTTTTGTTGTTGTTCATAGATTTTCTGCAAGACATTGTTGCATTGTTGTTATATGTTCAGAATGTAACTTCCTTAGCATATGTTACATATCAGTTATTGATTCGAGGAATTGTTATACAGGTTTAATAAGAGTTATGTTGTAGGAAAAGTGATTGTGTTATGTTATAGAGATTCGTTTTGCGTGCCAGAATTTTATTTTATTTTTTGGTTTCAAAAATTGTGGGTCCCACAAAATATTGTGTGTAGGAAAGTTGTTGTGGTCATGTTAAATTATAGATACAAAACCCTTGTTATATTTGAATGTTTTATAATATTTATAATAAACAGTGTTTATTTTAGAAGTTAAGATTTAAACTCAATACTAGTTATTGAGAAGAATTTAAACACATTGATTAAAGACAAAAAGAAAAAGAAAAATTAATGTGTAAGCATGTAAATCGATAACTATAACACTAGTCATCATAAATCTAAATTATTCATGTACTCTTCTACCCAATAATAATAATTCATGCACTCTTAATGTCATGGATATTACCGCTACTATGTAGGACTATCAATTTTTTTTTTATTCAGTTAAGTCAGCTTGTATTGATCTATCATTATGTTTTCTCAAAACTTATAAAATCTACTTTGTAGTTAAAAAGTTTGGAAAAGTGTGTGTCATTTCAAAAACATAAATTTGTGTCATTTTAAGTAAGAGAAAGAGAGTGAACAAAAAAAAAAAAAGGTATGGATCTCACCTCTTTGTAAGAGTAAAATGATATAAGTTATGTCATTTAAGAAGACAAATATTTTTCCTTAAAAAATTTAGTACATGAATTTAAAAGATAATTAGAGATGAGGGTGGTATTTTGAACAGGGAAACACTAATAATATACTTTTTTATCTTTTATAATATTTTTATTATTCGATTAAATCTCATGGTAGTTCTATTAATAAAAATATGAATTAATTATTACATTGTCTTAATTAGTTATAGAAAAATATTAAATATTTTTTTATCTTAATTTTGTTACTAGTTGCCTAAGGTACACTAGAGGTGGCAAAGCGGGCTGCCCGCCCCGTCTCTCCCCAGCCCGCCAAAAAGCGAGTTGGTCCGCCCCGCCCCATCCAGTTTGGGCGGGCGTGGCGGGCTGCCGCCAAGCCCGCGACATTTTACACTAAAAATTAAAAAAAAAATCAGTCCAGGCGAGCTGGCGAGCTTGACATGCAGCGGGTTTGAGAAACTCAGCCCGCCCCACCCCGTTTGACGGGCGGGGCAGGCCGGCTCGGCAGACTCGGCCCATTTTGCCAGCTCTAAGGTACACCCCAATAGATCCGTTATCATAATTTATAAATTAAGAGTTCCAATTGAAAATCATTATTAAAACAACTCCATTCATGTATCTTTCTTTCATTGCACTTAGCACTCTTTTAAATTGGAGATGTTTTACCTTTTATTTCCCAAACATGTTTTTCCCATAGAGGTTTGTTAGGTTGACCCATCACGTCCAATTTCGGTGAGGTATCATCATCATAAATAAAATCTGCAGAGATATTAGCATTTGCCATGTCCTATGCTAAATTGAGATTATTCCTTTTCAAATGCTTTTATGTAAATTTAAATTATTGACATTACAAAAACTCTTCAATTACCCAATTCAAGTTTATGTGTCCACCACTTAGAGCTATCTCTTACAAGATTGTTCCTTTTCAAATGCGTTTCGAATTTTAAAGTGAATTTGAGTAAGCAAAAGTTATTATTTTATAACGTAAGTCATAGTTATCTTCCACATTCATAACATTTTTAATGTTATAACTAATGTGACACACATTAAATGATATACAACAAAAAAAAAAGTTCTATGCCTTAAATGAATGATGAGTTGATGACATAAATATTCACCAATGAAAACCTCGGGGAATTTTAAGTTGACTCAACTTGAACTATAGAATAACATGCTTCATTGTTAGAAATTGGAATGGGACATCTTCCCTGTCCTAAACCCCTTTTTTAATTTAAAAAACTGAAAATTCTTCATCTAATTCATTAATTTCAAGTTACGTTATATGAGGGATTGCAACATTTGTTTCTCCTCATTCCTTAATTTGCAAATCAACTAATGAGTAATGCCTGATAAAATCAAATCAAAAATCAAGGCTAATTGCACTTTCAGATCTCCAATGTCTTGCTTTCTCAAATCCATTAGCAAAATTCTCAAAATCATCAATGGTTTGGTCAATCTCTTCTTGAGTGTTCATCACAAAGGGTCCAAATTGCATCACAGGTTCTCCCAGAGGTTCCCCTCCAACCAAAATGAACCTAAGGATATTACAAGATTTGTTCCATGCCTCTAAGCCATCCCCAATACCAAGAAGAAGGATATGGTGAGAGTTTGCAGGCTGAGATTCCAGGTTTCCAAAGACACCCTCTCCTTCCAAGACATAAACAAAAGCATTCCAAGATTTTGGTATAGGTTGTTGAATGTGAGCACCAGGTTTAAGAGAGAAGTCCAAGTACATAGTTGGTGTCCTTGTGTATATTGGAGACTTTATCCCTAGAGCTTCCCCAGCTATAATTCTAACCTTGATACCATCTTCCTCAGCTTCTTCTATGTCCTTACTCAACACTTCTTGATACCTTGGTTCAATCCTGGTATAGGAGTACAAAAGAAAGGTTAAAACAAAGTTTAGCTTATAAATTATGAAACTAATTTAAAATTTGGCATAAAAATCAAGCTCAATAATGATGTCTTATATTGCATAACAAGTACTTCCAAGAAACTAGAGTGAAAAAGTTGACTCTTATCTATATTGGGTCACTCATAACCTGGCAAAATTTGAAACTAGCAGTGGCATCTTGTTGCCCTTCTTATTGAAGGAACCATCATCACCATGGGATATGGGTGAGAGGCACTTATGCTGGCCATTTTAGACCGTTATCTACACTTGCATCATGTTGTGCTCTATTCAAAAGCACTTGTGGGAAAATGGTCCATGATGGCACAGGGAATCATGGGATAAAGTGGCATGTGAAAGTAAGCAATAAGGAATATATTAATTCCAAAAGTTAAAAATAGATTTGACTTCTTTTTCTTTGTAAAGTGAGGAACTCCATTTTGTGTCATTGATAGTAAGCATTATCCAAATTAAACCATCCTCCAAAAGAGATAATGATGATGGCCAATGACGCAATAAATATGTCACTAATCCTAGGACCAAGGCTAAGGTTCTCAATATTTGAGTATTTGACAAAAACAGAAAAACCTAAAAGTACTTCCTAATGGTTACAGTAATACTCTTATTGGGGCATCATTATATTCAAATCTTGTGAAAGATACACTAGTTCAGATTTATTGAAACATAATAATGTCCAGATCAAAATACAATGAGCAAAATAGAAGAAAAGGATATATCCACTAACATTTTATATTTGGAAGACAGGTTGATCCACAGCTGAAGACCCTTTTGGCTTCCTTGAGCTGCAGGCATTTCTGAGTGAACTATTCCTCTCCCTGCAGTCATCCACTGCAAGTCACCAGCTTCTATTGTTCCCTTATGTCCTTCAAAATCTTCATGCGTTATAGCTCCCTGAATGATACAAACAATTGTACTCAGACAAGAAATATATGTACAGGTCCTTGTTTTATATATATATTATGTATGACATGTATGTACAGGCACATGTGACTTCATAACACCTACACAACTTTAGGTTCAAGTTGGTAGTTGCTTAGTTGGTATTCTAGAAACAAAATATCAACATGTGGGGTCATTCTTGCCCTTTTGCTTATATAACCAGCTATTATGTGTAATTTTTTAATGGTTGTGTCTGAATGTTAATAATTAAAATAGCTGATTTGGCAACCGGACATTAATATTTTATTTGTTGCCATAGCACCAGCACGAATGTGTGAGCTGATATCTGCCTAACTTCAATCAGAAAGTCAAATATTTAGTTTCATTTTATATTTCATTAGGTAACTCTGTCGATTTCCCTCTATATTGGCTATTAGTCCATTAAAATATGTTTCCAACTTTAACAAAGATTGCAACAAAAGTGAAATAAGTAACTAACTAAAAAAGATTTCTCTAGTAGCATGGGGAGAAGCCTATGAATTGAGACATTCAATTTGCTCTACCTGCAACATGTATGTGACCGTCTCAAAGCCTGTTAATAGAAAACATCACAAGGAAAGAGAATGGAGTCATATTTCTGAAGAACAAACGGAAATGACACACACACAAAAAAAGGCCAATTTGCAAACCTCTATGAGGGTGATCAGGGAAGCCAGAAGGAGCAGTAACTGCAGAGTTTCAAAATTTCATATTCTTAGGAAAAACAAAAAAAACAAAATACACACTTCCCCCTTGAAACAGAACAAAATACAGAGATGCATACCTGAGAATTCATCCAAGACAAGGAAAGGATCAAAGTACTTGAGCTCAAACCTGATCAAACCCACATAATATATCAATTGAAAAAACTCAACCTTGCAATGAGTTTCAACTTGCAATGCAAAATAAAAAACGGGTTTGAAAGAAAATTTTCCATTCTATCTAACCTTCCTATGCTTCTTCTAACAACAGCCCCAACACCTTCATGTTGGGGTCTAGCCAAGAATTTCCTAGCTACAAGACGAGGCTCTTTCACATGAGTGCTAACTGTTCTCTCTGACATTTTGTAGGAAAACAAGAATTTTATCGATTGCTGAAAATGTGAGGAACAAAAGAAAGGTGGTTGAATGTATATATAGGAAGTTTCAGGAGAGAGAGAGTTACCCTTTTGGAAGGTCAAGCTATGAAGGGAGGTTTTGGGTTCCTTGAACACAAGGAACTTTTTAGCATTATTTTGTGTTTTTTTTTTTTTTTAGTAAAATCGTTTATTGTCTTTCTATGAACGTCAGCATGACGCGGTGATGATGTCATGTGCAGTTCAAGGGTTTGCCATCTCAGCCATTACGTGACTGCCACGTGGAGTTAGGTTCGGAAATGAAAGAAGAACCAAAAAATATTCTCTGTTTGCGAAAAAAAAATCGTAGGCAGAATTTATGGCTTTATGGGATTGAGCATCGCTAGGCATGCTTATTGCGTGTGAACTATATTCTCCCATTCTAGATACTTTTTAAGTTATTTTGTCTTTTTCTTTTGTTTTAAAAGATATATTTTAGGGTTTGACGTTTTTGATAATATAAGAGATAAAATTATTTCCAATACATATACAAAAATATGTGAGATCAACATGAGGTTTTGGAAAGAAAAGAGAGAGAAAAAAATATGGGTTTCTTACAATTTTTTTTTTTGTGTAAGATTTTATTTTATCTCCTATAATATTATAGACATAAAACCTTGTATTTTAATAGGAAAAGTTTTATCATACTTTGATTTTGCATCACTCAATCAAATTAATTTAATTGATAAATTGGTGAATAAATTTTAAAAAAAAAATTATAAAAATGTTTTGCATCACTTAACCAAATTTGCTCCCACGATTTATTTTTAAATGTCCTTTTTAGTAATTTTATATATGAAAAATGCTTTTTAATTTTAACATCCAAATAATATATTTAGTTAAAAGTGTTTTTCATATACTACATCCAAATGCAAATAATTTTAGCTTTTGAAAAAAAGTCCTTCTAAAATAAGCAAGGTATAAAAAATTATTTTTTTAAAGAAGCACCCATAACAATTAAAAAAACAATTATTAAACTCGATTCGACCAGGCTGCGCTGACCTGGTGTGTTGAACCATAAGTCATAAAGACTATGTTTATTAAGTTTTAATGATAACAGAACACATACAAAGGTCCAATATAACTCAACAAGGATGCCCTTAAAACAACGCAAGGCAACAAGTTCTAAATGGCACAAGAAGCCTATAACAAAGTGCAAAGTTGAAGAGAATACTCGAATTGGCAAAGTCAAAGTTCAAGTCAAATCAAGTATTAGAAGGCTCAAACTATGAAGATAAAAACTACTCCAAAAAACCAATCCCCATTAAAATCAACAAGCGAGTGTGGAGTGGAGAAAATTCTTGTACGCAGCCTTACCCTTGCATAATTGCAAAGAGGCTGTTTCTTGAATTCAAACCCATGACCTTTCAGTCATGAAGGAACAGTTTTACCACTGCTCCAGGTCGTCCTCTTTCAAACTATGAAGACTTATGTACTTACTGTTTATATAGTTCATTTAGAGTCATAGAACTTATAGGAATGAGCCTATTGAGCTTTAACTTGAAAATTACATAAATAGACCATAAACTCATATAGGTGACTCATATTCACTTTGATCATGCATACAAGGTCACACACACTTCTAGAGTTGTTATATAAGTGTGAAACATGAGCATACATATATTAGAAGTCACTTAGAATCATTTAGAAGCTATGAAGCACCGTCACTTCTGACGTGTCGTGTCCGACACGCACCGACACTTTGACACTTTCTGACACTCCAATACTTGTTGCAAAGACTCAAAAAAAGTTCAAAGATTACGCTGCGCTGCATTTTGAGTTCCAACTATTAGATTCGTTAGATTACGATTACAATTTTATTGAGTTTAATATAAATATTTGGGATATCTTATGCTTCTTTACAAAAATGATGGGTACTATAAGTTTAACTTTATTTTTTTGTTAAATTATTGAATACTAAATATAATATACATTACATAAATTAAAAATATTATATAATATCAAAACGTGTCCTAACATGTGGAAATTTAACATTTTTTAGAATTAACGTGTCGGAGTGTCGTGTCGTATCCCGTGTCCCGTGTCGGTGTGTGCAACATAGTTTAGAAGTCATTGGAAGTCATATAGATGCATTTGAATTCGAAAAATCAGTAGTTTGTTGGCATCTGCATAAAAGTAATGAATACTTTTTCAAAAGTAATCAAATACTTTTTGGATTAAAGAAGTATTCGAATACCTGATGAACAGTAATCGAATACTTTCTAGGTTTGAAGAAGTATTCTAATACTTCCCGAAAAGTAATCAAATACTTGCTTTCAGAAGTGACTTATGACTTAAGTAATTCAAAATTTTAGATGTCCAATGACTATAAAAGGCTATTAACTCTATTGGGCACATATAAATACATATATACTCGGGTTCATAACATAAGAGTTAACATTGAAATCGCAAGAACACAGAGAATTAAGAATTAAACCCCTATTGGCCTACTTTTGTACATCTTTGAGAAAAAAACTCAATTACTCTCTTGTTTCTCAATCTTTTTTTTTTTTTTTATCTTTTTGATTGTATTGGACGTGGAGGGACTACTATACATCTGCTTGGCAAGAGTGAATTGCTTAATTGATTTTGGTGATTTGGAGAGACCCTATAGGTGATAGTTTAAGAGTGATCAATGGTGTTCATCATAGACTTGTAAAAAACTCTTTGTAAATCGATTTTTCTGGCACTAGTTGGAAGCTAGAATATAGTGAAACGGATCGACCTCAGTCTACACGTGGCTCTCAAGTGGTTGGAGAGTGAACCATGATATATGCCGGTGTGATTTTTCCTTACCCTATCTCTTTTGATTTTAATCAATTGAATTTCGTTTTGACTCTTTGTATATGTTGTATTGAATCTGTTTGAGGGTTGAGAATTATTACTTTTCTGTTTTAATTCATTCTTGAATGATTACTTGAAGAGAGTTGCCATAAACAATGAAATTTCTATATTTTCCCTTCCAATTTGAATTTGTTGTTATTGCCTCTGAATTTATGTTATTATAATTATTTTAATTCTATTTTGTGTTGGGAATAAGGTTTATAATCTGCAAATTTGTTTTGGTTGAAGTTGTGTTTAAAAGTATTAAATTTTGAATTGTTTCTTGAATTAGAAGTTACACACAATTCACCCCCTTTTGTGTGATTGATTAAGCCATCTTTTCTTTTCACGGTGAACCGGTGACCTAACCGATTCGAGTTAGCCAATGGAATGGTCATGCAACAGACCCGATGAGAACCGATTTGACTCGGCCAATTTTTATCAAAATCGGTGACCCGATTGATTTTCGTTAACCCGGTTGGGTTATGCACATTCTTTTTTTAAATACAGTGAAACAACGTCATTTTTTAAGCAATGACCAAATGCAAAATCTGTAAGTTGCAGTGCACCTTTTTCAATTCACAAATACATATAAGAATCACACTAAAAGCAAAACACGATTAAACATTTAAAGTTAAGAAAAATGAAATTGAAATGAAAACCCTATGTAAGTTGGATTGAAATTTTAAAGCATAAAAGACACAGGGGAGAGCTAATTTAAAATTTGAAAAGAGATATTAATTTTTTTTAATATTGACCCTATGGATAATTATTCTTCTTTTTTGGTAATTAGGGAGGGTCTAAGCTCAAAAAAATGAAATATAAAGATGCAAGAATTCTATAGTAATGAAAAGCAAGTAAATCCCTATCTTATAGACTGATCATTTGAGGAGGAAGTTGGTAGATGATGACGATATCATTTTTCATGCCAAGGCCTTGTTTTGCAAACCAATTATCTTTACATTTGTTGCTTGACATAATTTTGAATAATTCTGGATAGACATAATTATGCATTTTTCTAGAGAACATAGAAGTCACTATAAAGGAATTGAGTATAGAATATATATGTATATATATATATATATATATATATATATATATATATACATATATATATATATATAGGGTCAGGATCATTTTACACCAGTGTAAGTTACACTCTCAATCTTGTCCGTTAATCTCACTTATATCTAAGGGCTCTAATTTTTTAGTAACGTGAGTCATTGGATACAAGTGGATCAATGGTCAAGATTGAGTGTGAGATTTCTAACTCTTACACCGGTATAAGAATATCATGCCCCATATATATATATATATATATATATATATATATATATATATATATATATATATATATATATATATATCCAATCAGTAACTTACTGGTTGAACCAGTGACCTACTAACATGATATCTCAACCGAGTCGATGACCGATTCGAGTTTAATAACATCACTGAGAGTATAACATCTCTGGATTCTCATTGACAAATAACCAATTCAACCCCATTAATTAAACGTTAAAAACCACACATATACTATTTTGTTTTTTTCTTCCTTTGCTTATCATCACACTCTTCTTAATACAATGATGCCAAATGGATTTTTTGAGTGGACAATTGATAATAGAAATATTATGTTGACTTTTGCATTTGATATAGTTAAATTACCTAGGCATTATGTATCCCTCGTGAGAATGTAAGGGATGGTTTGGTTTTAAATTAAGTTTCAACGTTCCTTTCGTGGGGTATGGCTCTATATATCTAAGCACGGTTAGGTATATATATTAAACATTTATTGAATGAGACACTAGCATTATTGGCTTCATTTGGCTAGTGATCACTTAGCTGAATGAGAATATCACAGTTGCTGATATGATGACCAATTTGGCTAACTTTGATGATTGGGATATAAACCCTTTTGTTAACCCTCCTCAGGAGTGTGTTGATCTTGTTAAGAGGGATATGATGGGGTTGCTACCCCCGTATGGTCCGTAGTGTTTTTTTTTGGGTAAACATCCGTAGTGTTTTTTAGTTTGCCTGTTGGTTATCTTTCCTGTAATTTCCAAATATATATATATATATATATATATATATATATATATATATATATATATATATATCCAATGTCTCACATTACTAAAAAATTTGAGCGCTTAGATATAAGTGAGATCAATGGACAAGATTAAGAGTGTAACTT